TTTTTTATGCATGAACGGTTTCGAACTGTTTTAAGCAAAAATAAACCTTATACCATATCACAAGAGCACATGGTACTTCGTAGCCATATGATAGTAATAAGACGGCAGTTCAACCATTTTAAGCAAAATTAAACAATAAGACATACGCATTGTTTTTTTTTTAACAGGAGACTTGTTTTCCAGAAATTTATTTACAACTTGAGTTTGTGAGCGATCCCAATGAGTGCTATTAGTTGTTACTTATTAGACAATTTTTCCATAACATGATTTAAAACCCACAAAGTAAAATGTACCATGTACACGTTAAAAAAAGGTTGATCAACCCCTAAAAATTTCAAATTTTTAAAATATCCAGAAACGAAGCTGCATGCATGAACTACTCGCAAAATAATGAACATTTTGTTCTGGATAAATTTTCCAAAAAAGCAATTTGAGCGAGTTATAACGATTTTTAAAAAGACACGACTCGCGTGTCATACGCCACACACAAAAGTAATCGATGGCACGCCTGGAGTGTCACCCGCACTGAACAGGTTAATCTGTCTCTACTCTTCAGTTTCATATTCAGTGCTTCTTTTAATAATATAGGGTGACAAAAGAGCACACAGTTCACCTGATGGTAAGTGGTGGCTGTGGCCCATAGACATCTACATCTATCCTCGTTTGCGAACCAAAATGCAGATTCGTTGTTACCCGTGAGGACTAAAATGGAATGCCTCTTTTCCAGTAAAATGTGTCTCCGCTTCTCTACACTTACCATACGAAACACAGCAGCATTAAGCTGCTATTTTACGCTGATATTCTGTGAGAGCCTGGTCCTTCCCCGGTCGAGCCGACCCATTCGTGCTACAACTATACCAGTAACATTGCTGCAGCATGGCTCTACCACTTAAACTCTACTACGTATCACGTGCTGTCGAGGACGTGTTTAACAAAGCACACAGAAGGCATACTACTGCTAAATAGATTGTATGACTATATGCATACCTTCGGTGGCTTTGAAAAAAGCCGTTTGGATTTGCTTGAGCGAAAGAAAAAATATTTACATACAATACAATACATGAACAAAAGGAAAGCATGAACAAAGTACAAACATTGTACAAAACAAATTTATATTCTAAATTGAATCGTCCCTATTTCTTAAAGAAAGATTTGATTACGTCCGCGTGAAATGTTGGTGAACGTTTTAATTGTATCAATAACTGTTTATGTGGATATGCGCTGTTTATTCTCAACAAAGTTTAAAGATTTTACCTTTTCCTCGACGATTAGCATTTTAACACACATCAATTCATCACAAGAAACACTATTATCCTCCAATTTTACTAAAAATCTTTAAAAAAGCATAAATTTTCAACTCCGAGCCCAATATTAGTTCCATAGATTCGCTCAAGTAAACACACAGAGTAAACATTGAAATGTGAACTGAAGTTGCACCGCTGACGACTAACTTCATATCTAAAGGCAGGCTTATCGCTCCATACTAATTGCTATATAAACAATCGTAGTTATATTTCATTATAGAACATTTTGCCACAGGTTAGAAAGGGTGCGATCGTCTTCTCGAAAGCCCGGTAAAGGCGGCTACTGACCTGCCTGCCGCAGGGGCAATCTAGGGAGCACAAGATCGGAGCAATATCGGAGCTGTCTCTACACATACTCACACGCCTGCCGTTCAGTATGAGAGTGTACGTCTCGCTGGACGCACGCGTTGGGAATGGCGCCAGTTTTATCGAAATATCAATGATTTCTTATATTTACGCGAACACTACACATTTAAATAAAACTAATTTTACGGATTTTATCGCGTATATTAACTTATTTTACTTTCCCGACGTTTCAAGCACTTTACAGCACCCATGGTCACGGGGGGGACTGAGGTGTATGACGTCCCAATGTCATAGTTAACCACGGCTACCTCCAGATTAAAAATTATTAATTTTTGTTCCGATCTACGCAGTATGAACTTACAGTATCATGAAGTCTTGCAGTTGTATGCTTGGGTTGGGATTTTATTTTATTAATTATGGGATCCCAAGCAGATGGTAGCACCCAGCCATCTTCTCTATTGAAATTAGGATGTTTTTTGATTTCAATAGCCTCGCGAATCATCCTTGGAATATATAGGACAAACTAAAAGATCCATAAAAACCCGCGTTAAAGAACACATAGCTGATGTGAAGAATAGACGCTCCGGGAAGTCTGCAGTCTGTGAACATGTACAGGATCGCCCCCGTCACTACATTAGATTTGATAGACCACAAATCCTCGCTAAAGAACACCGATTCCTTCCAAGGATGATTCGCGAGGCTATTGAAATCAAAAAACATCCTAATTTCAATAGAGAAGATGGCTGGGTGCTACCATCTGCTTGGGATCCCATAATTAATAAAATAAAATCCCAACCCAAGCATACAACTGCAAGACTTCATGATACTGTAAGTTCATACTGCGTAGATCGGAACAAAAATTAATAATTTTTAATCTGGAGGTAGCCGTGGTTAACTATGACATTGGGACGTCATACACCTCAGTCCCCCCCGTGACCATGGGTGCTGTAAAGTGCTTGAAACGTCGGGAAAGTAAAATAAGTTAATATACGCGATAAAATCCGTAAAATTAGTTTTATTTAAATATCAATGAATCAGTATATATAGCCTTGGCTCTTTTTTATATAGAATAAGGGTGACAAATGGGCACAGTCCACCTGATGCACCCACACCCACATTTATCAATAAAACAACCAATTAATTAATAATTGCAACCATAATATAGTGCTTAGAAGCTGCAGCATAGCTCTGCAGCATAACTTTACTCGTCCTAATTTAATATAACCAATTTATTCTATGATATAACTTAACTATCTAGTGCTAAGTTACTATAATTTAACTAGTGTTACAAATAGCCAGGATAGTTTTCTAATGATGGTTACAATAAAATTTAATTACTAAAATTTGTATTTTTGTTTAAATATTTATATAATTACATTTTATTTATATTACAGCAATTTTAATATTATTTGAATATTTATGATAAGTTAGGTAACAAATCCCAGTAATGTTACTTGTAATTTACAACGTTCAAATAATATTCTTTCTGCGGGTCTGATTTGTACTCATACGTGTGCTCCGCGCGAAAGTCGCAACGAACTGATTGAAATTGCTCCAATCGGGCTACACACGCGACAGCGGCAGGGCCAATCTAGGGAGCAAGGAAGGTCTTGCGCTCCTGCAGTGTTGCAAAAGTGAAAAATAAAAAATCGGTAGATTTGCCAGCTAAAAATCTGAAGAAATCGGGAGATTTTTATTTACATCCATGGGTTTAGAAATGTATCATAAAACGTTCTTTTAGATGTCGTTCTTTTTCGTTTCATTATTTTTGCGATCATAATAATCTCTTTATAATTTAAACTAAAATTTTATGATTATATATTTTTGCTACTCACGCTTCTCCAAAATTCTTCTGTTTCTTCACTGAGTGGTTTAATTTCTTTCGTATTTAGAAGCAAACGCTATTCTAAATTAATTTTTTGATAACTAATGCTACCTAACAAATTCGGACATAAAGCACAACAGTTCTCAACAAAACAGAAGAAGGCTAGTAATTAGTGAATGTAATTCTATGAACGAACAACACTATATATACATGGCCTAAGCTACCTAATTCGTAAAACAACCCGAACAAAGTAATCTTTAGGGATCTCCCCCGTACACTTACCACACAATAATGAACTCTATTTTAAGATGTATCAGTGCAATATGCTTTAACCATACCGCGAAATTAAAAACCTAATAAGGTTATAGGTATAGGTCCCATAGGACGTGGTGCGAGCAATTTCGGGAAGTCCCCGTACATAGATTTTGTGTTAAAAGTTCATTTTAGTATTTTGATTATTACTTTTCAATTTTATTTATGATTATTATTTTACATTAGTTGAAAATGTAAAAAAATCGGGAGATACGTTCGCTAAATCGGGAGATACTAATTAAAATCAGTAGATCTCCCGATAAATCGGGAACTTTTGCAACACTGCGCTCCTGCCGCAGGGCCGACTTAAAAAATTGCCCCTGCTTGCCTACACACATCATAATTAACGAGGCAATTAAGGGTCATTCCCACTCCTACACCCTAGATTGCCTCTGCGGCAGGCAGGTAGCCACCTTAAAAAGCCACGCGCGAGAGAAACGACTAATCGCTCAACTGAACTCCTTTTTTATGACAATGACAGCAGTATCGCGTAGTCATGCAATCTGCCAAGTGTTGACGTTACATAATAAGGCTACGAGGTCATGACGTGTAGAAGAGAGGAGCGTGCGGGAAATTTGAAATAATTTGAACAGTTTACACAGAAACATAGCTAGGCCAAATACTCTAACCACATGGCAATGTAATTAGCATTAAGTTTTCGTAAAGAATTTTGAAAATTTCTTTAAATACCTTAGCTTACTATTTAGAGTTATTTTATTAGTTGATATTATTGATTGAGCAGTTTGGTAGGGCAAGCCGGGCTTCTTGGCTTTTATGGGGGCTTCGCTACCGGCTGTAGTGATATTTTTAAATAAATATAATACATTATTCATAACAGTCTTTCCCTCCAATTACAATTTATGTCTCTTCAAGGCAACAGTGAATAGACTTTTTACGCTAAGATTCTTCTTTCTAGGTCGTCATCACTACTTACCACCAGGTGGGATTGTAGTCAAGCACTGGCTTATAAGTATAAATAAAAAAAAATTACTAAAAAAAGTGTTTTAGTGGGTCAGCTCGACCAGGGAAAGCCTATGTTCCATAGAATACCAGCGTAAAATAACAGTTTAATGCTGCAGTGTTTCATATGGCGAATGTAGCGAATTGGTGACACTTTTTACTGGTAATGAGGCTAGAACTATCCAGGGATGACAATGCATCTACATTTTTATTCTTAATCATGCATCCACAAAAAAAACTTTATGTAAGTTTATTGATGAATTAGTTGCTTGGTAAAAAATTTATGAACTTACCGGTGTTTGAGTCTTGTTACCAAAACACTCATTGTAAAACATGGTTTGAGTAGCTTTAGAAGTTTTAGAAGTTCTAAATTTTTGAATTTGATTTACACATTTGCATGGGAGAGATTCTTGAACGTTAGTTCTTGGAATTTGAATAGGAGAGAGAGGTAGTTCCGGTTTGTTCTGTAGAAAAGAGAAATTAATGTATAGAAGCACTTTAGAAAATAGTAATTCTTTAAACTACTTTAAAAAAAATTGTGTAAGTTTAGATATTTTTTGTAAGTGTAAATATTTTAATTAATTACTTTATATTATTTCTTGTACTATTATTTATTCTGTGATATTATTTAAATATTTTAAGTTTCCTTCTTCTTCACGAGCCCATAAAGGTTCACTGCTGGGCTCTATATGGCTATACCGCCATGTACCAGAAACCATAAGATTATGCTGGCATCTCCCATAGTCACCTTTTACAACATTGAAGTAGGGCTATATTACTCCGCTGTGCGAATTATTATTTACAGACCTGCTAAATACTACATGACTGAAATAAACCCGTTTTGGAAAAACGAATGTAAATTTCACAATTTTAATATGTACAAAATATATCATTGAAGTATTGCTTCTAGTGGCAGAATATTAAATATAATATACTTTCAAATGTCAGTGGACCGTAGCTTTTTAGTAAATGGTTAAAAAAAAAATTTAAAATGCAGCACTAGGATGACTTTTGTTTGATGGTAGAATAAGGTAAGAGGAATAATACTAACCCAGAAGACGTAAACTTATCATGAATACATATATGAAAGTTAACATTTTAAATATAATTTATGGTTACATAGATTTCACACACATAACTGTGTTTAAGCTCATAAGGTTAACATGGGCGAAGTTTAAACCTTTTTGAATTTTATTTTTATAGGAGTGGGGGCAAACGAGCATGCGGCTCACCTGATGGTAAGTGACTACCACCGCCCATGAACAACTGCAACACCAGGGAGGGAATCGCAGATGTGTTGCTGGCCTAAAGTGTACATACACAAATATGACATGACACGTAACATAAATAATAATACAAGAGAATTTTATATTTAAATAAAACCACTATTAAATAATAACCGATGGTAATAAAACATAAAAACCATTATTTTTATTCTATGTAAAACAAATCCAAGTGTTAAATAATGCAGATTAGATATAAAAATCTTAATTTTTAGGCCCTAGTAGAACATACCGGCGCGCCTAGCACTTACGGCATGCAATATAATAGTTACTTAGGAAACTTAGAACAAGAACAATAAGAGATGATTTTTGGCACACTCACATGTACATAAAGCCTTGGAATGGATCTCAAATTAAGCAATGTTACGCATCCAGTTTGTCTAAAACAATGAGGCTCAAAATGTTTTGAACAGACACGGCTATGTTTTGTTGGTAGCCAATTATCACGACCGGTAGCATTTATCCAACAATTATGAATAGCTGGTTCCTTAGGAAAGCTGTAAAATAATATATTTACAAAATTGAATACTTATATTAAAAATATATTATATTTATATATCTAGGTTATGCAGTAAGTAAATAATAAAAAGCATGTGCATAAATCAATATCACTTTAAAATATGAAAATAACAATAATTATTATTACTTTCATATTTTATAATTTTTATAAATGTAATCAAAAACAGTGAGTTAAATATGTAAACAATGTTCAAGGAAAGATATACAAATATCTTTCCTTGAACATTGTTTATAGACCCCAAATTAGAACAATCCTGTATTTTGGGGTCAGACAGCGCAAGTTAACTAGAGATTTGTACACAGTCTAACAAAAAGGCTAACATATTTTCATAGTATAAAAAATTATCCAATTAAGTAAACTAATATATAAATTTAAATAATAATCATCATCATCATCATTACAGCCCTTCACAAGTTCACTGCTGAACATAGGCCTCCCCCAAAGAATACCACAAAGCACGGTCCTGAGCCACCTACATCCATCGACTTCCTGCATATCTTACCAGGTCGTCACTCCATCTAGTGGGGGGACGTCCTACACTTCGCCTGCCGGTACGAGGCTGCCACTCGAGAACCTTTCTTCCCCATCGGTTGTCGGTTCTTCGAGCTATATGGCCGGCCTATTGCCACTTCAGCTTACTAATCCGTTGGGCTAAGTCGGTCACTCTGGTTCTACTGCGGATATCCTCATTTCTGAGTTTATCACGCAGAGAAACTCCGAGCATAGCCCTCTCCATAGCTCGCTGAGCGACCTTGAGCTTCCTCATCCGGCCAGCAGTGAAGGACCACGTCTCAGTTCCGTATGTCATCACTGGCAACACGCACTGGGTGTACAGTCTCGTTTTCAAGTTTTGAGGCATACCTGACGAGAAGATGTGTCGTAATTTCCCGAACGCTGCCCAACCGAGTTGAAACCGAGTCGATTGACCTCTCGGTCGAAGATGGACTTACCTAGTCGGACTATTTGTCCCAGGTAAACATACTCGTCAACAACTTCGAGCTTAGTGTTCCCAACAACTACCGGCATAGGTGTGATATGGACATTAAATATGATCTTTGTTTTGTCCATGTTCATCTTAAGACCTATCCGTTGGGAAACACTATTGAGGTCATTGAGCATAGTGCTTATGTCCTCCAGCGATTCTGCCATAAGGACAATATCGTCGGCAAATCGAAGGTGAGTGATGTACTCGCCATTGATGTTGATACCGTATCCTTTCCAGTCCAGAAGCTTGAAAACATCTTCCAATGCAGCGGTAAAGAGTTTCGGGGATATGACGTCACCATGTCTTACACCTCTCTGCAATTGGATAGGTTTCGTACTCTGGTTCTGTACTCGGATAGCCATCGTAGCCCTACTGTACAAGCACTTCAACACTTCGATATACCGACAGTCAACTTGGCATCGCTGAAGGGACTGCAGCACCGCCCAAATTTCGACGGAATCAAAGGCTTTCTCATAGTCCACATACGCCAGACATAGTGGCAAATTGTACTCCTCGGACTTCTGTACAATTTGCCGAAGGGTATGTATGTGGTCTATGGTGCTAAAGCCTTTTCGGAAACCGGCTTGTTCGGGAGGCTGGAAGTCGTCAAGTCTGCGCGTGAGACTATTCGTAATGACTCTCGAAAACAGCACGTAGACGCGGCTCAGAAGGGAGATCGGTCTGTAGTTCTTCAAGAGAGCATTGTCACCTTTCTTGAAGAACAAGACCACCGCACTTCTGCTCCACGCCTCCGGTGTAATGCCACCATGGAGGACGGAATTAAAGAGCTTCTGAAGGACTTCAAGTACCGGTTTTCCACCCGCTTTCAGAAGCTCCGCTGTAATTTCATCCTCGCCTGGGGCCTTGCCGTTTTTAAGGTGCTGGAGAGCCATTCTAATCTCGCTCAGACTGACGTCCGGGATATCATCGGAATAATGTCGGATAAGACTCGCTCTTGGATCGTTACTCACACTTGCGTGCGGCTCCAACGATGACGTGTACAGCTGCCCATAGAACCTCTCAATCTCACTCAAAATCTCAGGTGTCCCGGAAACGATGCTGCCACACTCTGTCTTCAGCTTTGACAGTTGGCTCTTTTTGGCAGACAGATCTCTGGCAAAGACTTTGGAGCCTTGGTTCCGCTCGATCGCTTCTTCAATACGAGCTGTATTGAAGTTGCGTAAGTCCCGCCGCATGCACTTGGAGATCTGTCTGTTCAGTTGCCTGTATGCTGTCAAATCTGTTGAAGAATGCAGCTTCATCTCCCGTCTAACAGCCATGAGATTAAGAGTGTGATCGGAGAGTTTTTGTGTTCTTCTGCGGCGGGTCTTGCATAACTTAGCTCCGACCGCATGGACAGTTTCCACGAGCTTGTCATTCAAATCGTCCACTTCATTGCAGTAATAATATTATTTATTAATTAGAAAATATTCACTACATACACAATAAACATTATTTTCATTATTATTAATTCATTCATTCATTCCTGCGTATCAAAAGTTCCCTGCTAAACATAGACCTCCCCCATAGATTGCCTTTTTAGTCTATAATTATTGGCCACTGTTGTTACTCTAGGCAAGTGAGTCTTTTTTATTATTATTTTAAGTTCTTATCAGGAAGATGCTGCTATCTTCTGCAACATTTCCCTCTATTGTCTTGTATGACACTGTAGTGGTATCTCTTCTACCATCACTACATGGCAATCTGCTATTATATTTAAAAAAAAATATACTGTAGGTAAATAAACAATCACAAACAACCATGAAACATAAAAACAATGGTGAGTAAATATATAAGTAATAAAAATCATACGTATATTACTTATATTATGTTATTGATGAGCAACGAAACATAAATTATACCATTTATATGTGATTTATTTTTATTATAATGTAATTACTTGTGCCCCTAAAGTTAATTAATGTATAATGAAATTAATGGAATACAATAATTTTTGAGTCATGATTATAAGCAATATACTATGTGATTGATTTTCAAAATTAAAATGACTGCCTAAAAATATTTAATTGAGTCAAAAGATGTTTACAGGTCTTGATACATACTAATAATGATTGACCATCAAAAGATTGTTACTCCTATTTTATTGTTTAAATAATGGTTTGAAGCAGATTTTGATGCGTAAAAGTGATACGATTTTATGTATTAAGTGTCTGCATGTAAACTAATAGTCTAAACAACGAAACAAGTGCTTCATTGTTGATATCAGCATCAAATTATTTTGTTCTCTTGGGTGCCTTAAGAACTTGAGTTACTGTCGTCATCGACTTCCCATTTGCAGAAATCTATAGTTTGTGAGTAATAATTTATCAAATTCCAGTCATAAGCATCATTCCGTTGCTTCAGACTTTACATGAATGTGCTCCTTATTTTGTTATTATCTGCCTCCTGTTTAGACGACTTCGCTACCCCTCTGGACACCGATTACTTGCTATTTTACTAAGTACAACGACTTCGCTATGCCTTTGGACACCGAATGGTTTGCGTCTCTGGACGTCTTGGATTACTCACTGGATATTGCAATGGCCGCAACTAACCAAGATACGGGCCATCCACGAGTTCAGGGTTTGGTGGAACTGCGACTGAATCGATGGTTCGTTGATGACGGACCCTTTGTCAATCGATAATTACATTTGGAAGATATTATGAAAATGTGGAGTTTGGCAAGTGTTAATTGAGTGAAATATTTTTGGAAACGGTGGAAGTGATAAAATATGTTTACTTATTCAAGTAAATATAAAAGTTAACATTTTGGTGTTTTATTTGGTGCAAGTGAGCGAAGCGAGCTCGGGACTTGGGGCATCCCGACTCGGGCAGGTTACGTTAGAAGGGGATGGCCTCTGAAAATAGAAATAGTCGATTATATATATATCCCCCCCCCACCGGTCCCCATTAAAGCGATTTTTCTCAGAAATCATTCAATAACAATTTTAATAATCATCATTTAATATAATAGGCACGTCCGGCGGGGGAAAGGTAGGGTGCGACTCTACCCTTTCTATTAAAATAAAACACAAGGAACAAGGATATAATAAATAGGTACAGTAGAAACAACAAAAAAAACTTACCGATGAAAGGTTATATTGTCTATTTTTCGTTGACTATTACTATTACAGCCTAAAATACTACAACTAACCATCTTTTCCGTCTTTCCTAATATCTAAAATCCACAACAACACAAAATTTAATTATCTTTTTCCAAAAATAAAATATCAACACAGACTAATATGATACTAATACTAATATCAATAAAGTAAATTTCTGGTATATAGTCACAAACTATATAGAAACCCTAAGGGTATTAGTGTTCTGTGATAGAAAAACTACGCGTTTATGATTTATGTGGCGTTTATATAGTGTATTCATGTTATCTATAACTTTATGAGTGTATTAGTGTTGTTGTTGTTTTTATTATTCGCTCGAGAGAGCAGGCAAAGGAACTATGCCATACAGCCTTGTCTTTTGTAATTATCCTTCATAGTTCACTGCTTCACAATATGTTGATGCGTCACATTGTGCAGTTATTTGGAGATTTTGACGGTAACTTGATCCAGCAGACAGCTGACAGTTGGCGATGGTATCTAAAGGCGTCTATGCAAACAAACAGCTTATCTTGAGAATCCATCACCATCAGAGCACTTGTTTCACTGTTTCCACTAATAGTTCACATGCGTAGACAATTAATACACAAAATCGCACCACTTTTACATATCAGAGTCCACTTCAAACCATTATTTAAACAATAATATAGGAGCAGCAAACCGCCGCTGGTCAAGTTCCCGCCAAACCAAAACTCATATAGTGTATTATCTATGAAGGAAACCGTCCGATAATCCAATAACAAAACTTTTATTTTTATTAAGATTGTAATTTTTCGCTTGGATGCTTGTTCTTTAAGCCATGTCTTCTTCTGGATCTTCGTTTTTATAGATTATCAATTGGGAATTTAATGTATTTGTAAATAGACAAAATATTTCATATTTTTCAAAAACACAGTCAAGCGGCAAGAGTCATTATTTGCGATTAATGACTACTATGCTGTTATTGCTTTGTGATTTTATGTAAATACTATATACTTATCCTCTTTCGTCCGAGATCGCGTAGCAAGCATAAGTGTGTTGCTTTTATTTTAAAATTTAATATTAGTTTTACACAATTGTCCTCCTTATGTTACCGTAGAATAACAATTAAAACTGTGAAATATATATTCCAACGCAAACTGATCGCCGTCGTCCACAGACTAATATGATTGATACTTACGTATCCGTTGTCACTTCGTCACTGAGTTCTCCCCGGCCCGCACACCCCGGGGAAAAGAGATAGTTGCATAATTGATTTCTTTATCATCGATCAAGCCCACGATCCGCTACGACGCATTGATTACTTCCGGCCGCCATTCATCGTAAACAGTGCTACGAAGCGTCTACGGTGTTGAAATGTGGTGAGCTACAAAGTTTATTATTACTTCGCCCCTATTTACATTTAATTATCAATGCCATTAAAACGTACTCCGCCGCATCAAAAATCAGTTTCGGATTCCAATCTCTATGACGTAAGTGATAAGGTGGTAATGGAACAAGAATCGCAGAATATTCACGGCACGACCGAAACGTAAAAGGGATATTGAAGGATTGGGATTTATGGATGAGGTTCGTAGTTTATTAAAGAATTTTACAGAACAACAAAATAATAAACTTAAAAGCTTACAGTCCGCGATTAAAGAGATTAAAACACAGAATTCTGAAAATACGGCCACGATACAACTATTATCGGGTAAATATGACGATGTAAGTAGTTGGATTTGTTAAAACATGAGCGTAAAGAACAACACAATTATATAAAAATACTTGAATACCAGCTTGAAAAAAACACGTATGCTGCAAAAATTGAAATTCGTAATATACCAAAAATTCAAAATGAGTCAAAACAGGAACTTACTACAGTGATACAGAGCATTGGAGACTCATTCGCCTAAACTAATCGTGGTCAAATTTATATCCGTCCTTAAGAAGGAGAGTATATTAAAAACTGTTAAGAATTATAACAAAAATGAGAGTGAAAAGAAACTTAACACATCGCTTCTGAAATGGGATTGCCCTTCAGTACCTATTTTCATCTCTAAAAGTCTCAATTTCAAGAGTAAAAGATTATTTTTCCTCGCCCGTAACTTTGCTCAAACACATGGATATGCTTTTTGTTGGTCATCCTATGGAAAAGTATACTTGTGGAAGAAAGAAGGGAGCCCACAAATAAAAATTGATGGAAAAGCGGATCTTGCAAAACTAAAGGGATCCAAAATATGACCATCACTGCAGTTAATAGTGTGGCTGTATATAATAAGAAAAAACCGGCCAAGTGCGAGTCGGACTCGCGCACCGAGGGTTCTGAACAAATCCGTAGGTATATAAGTTTAAAATTATTAATAATATGTTTATTATATGATGTCACTAAAAATTTATGCTTTTGGTAATTTTTCCTTTATCTGTATAATACATTGCTTCGTACCAAATTTTAAGATTCTGAGTTCGCGGTAAGTACCCTGTAGGTTTTGATTCCCTTGCGAATGTCGAAAATTTGCGGCATAAACGGCTGTATCTTTTGATTGCGTTGGCTTAGAAGTTTGATTTTTTCACAGCTCCAAGGGACAATAGACTTGAGTGTTTGAATTTCAGCTTGATACCTCCACGCCTTCCTGAGAAAAAGGGTATTGACAGACAGACAGACAGACGGACAACAAAGTGATCCTATAAGGGTTCCGTATTTTCCTTTTGAGGTACAGAACCCTAAAAATGTTTTTGCATCAAATTATTCAAATAACGTTTTATACCAGCCTTGATTATTTATAATTTTATTTTGTTGTACACACATTATATTGTAACTTTTTAAATAACTCTACACTACATGCGAATGATACTCCTTTATATTTATAACTACACCTTATGCAACTACACACTTATTCAATACACAACCAATACTTACACAAATTTTCTTTATTTACAATAACTTTAATCTCAATTTATTACTCTCTCTGATCAATTTAACTTACCTAGTAGAACTAATGGTGGCCACACACGATCAGTTAAACTGCTCCACTGAACTGACGTATATCCAAAAACTGATCGTAAATGTGAAATCTTACATATATTTTACAGGCAATAAAAAACAAGGCAGAACGGAAAAATCATAACCAACTACAACCAGAAGACGAAAATATCTGCGTACTTCAAGAAAACCTACAAGCACCATTAACACCAATTCCTATAAATGACCAAGTTACCTGTACTCAGTATTTAGAATTCAATGATTTTTGACTGATTTATTATACGAATACTACACATTTAATTAAACAAACTTTTCGTATTTCATTTTGTTTAACTTATTTTAATTCGTGACGTTTGGGTGCTTCAACTTTATTTTAGTATGTAACACGTCGAGAGCTCAATTAGATAAACATAGAAAGCTAGGCCATCGTAACTATTTCCGTTACTGAAAACCGATAAGCATTATCTGGTCATTATAAGTCATATATATATATATATATATATATATATATATATATATAGGGGGTGTTAAGAATCTCCGGTGGAAGTTCAATTGCCACCTAAGACGACTCGACCTGGCAACATACAACGCACGCACCCAGAGGACTGACGAGAAGATCGTGGAGCTGGAAGAAGAGGTAGAGAAGTTACGCTGGCATATTATAGGATTATCCGAAGTTCGAAGAGAGGGGGAGGACACGGTAATCCTCGAATCCGGCAACTTGCTCTATCACCGGGAGGGCGACCATCTGTCCCAAAGAGGTGTCGGATTTATCGTCCACAAATCTCTCGTTAACAACGTTGTAAAGATTGAGAGTGTGTCGACGAGGGTTGCGTACCTTATACTCAGAATCACCAAACGGTATTCGCTGAAGGTCATACAGGTTTACGCACCAACCTCGGCACACCCCGATGAGGAGGTGGAGGAAATGTATGAGGATATCTCTAGAGCCATGCATTCCTCCAAAACCCAATATACGGTGTTAATGGGAGACTTCAATGCAAAACTAGGCACAGGAGAAAACGGTGAGCTGAAAGTAGGAAAATTTGGTGGTAAGTATGCGTTATAGGGGGCACGAGTGAAACTACTGCTTGCAAGTAACACACTGATTTATTTCTTAACTATGACAAGTATACTTATACGTAGTTGTACACAGGTACCCACCATTTCCTCCCCCTAATTAACAATTACATAACTTAATTAAAGGAAACGACGATAGTCCACCTTAGGTAATGGGCGTAAACAAAACCTAGAAACCGGGTTGTTACGTGCAATGGTGGCCATAGGCTGATTAGCTACAGTGTCCATTGAAACTGGCTCCGACGATATGTTAGACTCATTGTTTACGTTAGTAGAGTTTACGTCATTTTGCACCAATTCCTCTTTCCCGCAGGTAGTTTGCGGCTCGTCTGAGGCCGGCATAGTGATATTTTCTTCCCAGGTGTTATCAGTTAAATTTTGACGGTCAAAATCAATGTCGAAATTTTGTTGTTCATCGTGAGATGGTCCTTGGTCACGCATGATTAGATTTTTGTATTTTTTTAAACTTGCTGACGTATTTATATGGTCTTTATTATATACGTGACTTTGCTTATTCTTTTTATTACAACGCCACGACACCAATTATATGTGTTACTAGCTGTGCCCGCGGCGTAGCTCGCGTATATAGGTTTTACTTAAAGAATTTGATGTTTAGGTAAGAGAATATTAAAAGATTTATATCATTACTGTATGAATAAGTGGCACCAAAATAAATCGTTATGCTCAAAGTTCTGAGTCGTTTGTGATAGAACTTCTGTGTAAACGACGTTAGAAGTAGACAGCCGGGGCGTACAGAAAAATGTTACGGGAGCTACTAACGCGGGAAAAAGCAACATAGAGTTGGCCATGTGCAAAACAGTCAGTACTGAGGTCCACTCCTGCAACGCGTAAAGTTTGACCTTGCGCTTTATTTACGGTCATCGGTCATCGCATAACACACGCTGCCTGGGAATGGGAAGTGGGAACAGAACACGCTTAGAACTGAAAGGAAAGTTATTTGATATAAGGTGGATTCTTGGTATAAAACAACATCATGACATATTGTTTTTGATGCAATTTTGCTACGTTTATCTTGGGCATACGTATCTTTTTTCTGATATCTGTTTTTGATGATGTTTGTGCTGTTAGCTTACACCCTACACGGCTCTTTCAGCTTGAATGGAC